TGGTGCTGAGGGAGGCTGAGGAGGGGTTTTGGCAGCTGGGAGAGGAGCTGGTGGGACTGGAAAGTCCCTCCTCTTGGCACCTGCCCCCAGGCTCCTTGACCTTTGACCTGGAGAGAAAGGCAAGGAGGGAGGGGAGCCTGCTTGGGCCCATCAGGTACACCGGCACCTAAGATAGAGATATTAGTAACAAACTGTTTAGAGTCTGACACGGGCCAGGGGCTGTTCTAAGTGTTTACAAGGCTTCACTCCGTCAAGCCTCAAAAGCGTATGAGATACGCATGTTAGCCCCATTCCACAGATGGGGAATCTGGGCTCAGAGACAAGTAGTGCCCTGCCCAAGGACACACAGCTCATGAGCAGTGGAGCCATAGTTTGCAACTGGGTGCCTGTAGGGATGGGCGGGCTACCATTTGCAATGATGTGGACGGAGCTAGAGTGTACTACGCTAAGTGAAGATAAGTCAGTCAGAGAAAGACAATTACCATATGATCTCACTCATATGTGGAATTTAAGAAAGAAAACAGATGAATATATGGGAAAGGGGAAAAGAAAAAAAGGAGAGTGAGGGAAACAAGCCCTAAGAGACTCTTAATGACAGAGAACAAACTGAGGGTTGCTGGGAAGTGGGGGGGGATGGGCTAAAGGGGTGATGGGCATTAAGGAGGGCACTTGCTGGGATGAGCACTGGGTGTAAGTGATGAATCACAGAATTCAACTCCTGAAACCAATATTGCACTGTGTGTTAACTAACTAGAATTTAAATTAAAAAAAAAAAAAGGATGGGTGGGCTAGGCTTGGAGACAATAGTCAGGACATGAGGGCTGGGTGAGTTAGAGGAAAAAGGAAAATCAGCTGTCTTGAGGAGGGAGGGTGGGAATCTGGAAAAGGCAAGCCTTCACCTGGGCCTTGAGGGATCTATACAATTGAGACAGCATGAAATGTGCAGGGAAAGGTTTTCTGGGAGGAGGGAACAGCATAGACAAAGGCATAAAGGCAAGCCCGGGCAAGGGACAGTTGAGACAAGGCAAACAGCCGGGCAGGGACCTCTACCAGTGCTTTGTGGGTCACAAGGCCACTTAAGCAGTGGGGCAAGTGTGGTACTACTCTGCCCTGAAAGTGCCTTGAGACCTGGAATCTCTGGCATTTTCTGGGAGAGCCGAGGGGTGGCTGACCCTTACCCCGTCGTGTGGTTTTACGAGTTGGAGGGTAAATCTTGTCAGCCTTGGGCCCCAGAAGCAGGACTGGATGTCGTGGAGGCATAGAAAGCCGTTCCTCTCAGACTGACGTGGAGGAGTCCACTGCTGTCTGGGAGGCTGTGGATGGACAGGAAGCTGGCCATTCCGGCCCGTGAGCCAGAGAATGGCCTCTGTGTGAGCCATAACAAAAAGGCTTTTCTGCCAAGTCGGAGGGGGAGGAAGCAGCCAGCTTGGCCCCTGCCCCAGCCTGAAAGGGGGCTCTCTTGGTGGCCCTGGGGTCTTCGATGCCTAGAATGTGTGGGGAGGGAAGACCAGGGTGTGCAGGAGCCTCCTCATGGCTGTCTCTATTCTCCAGCAGCACCAGGGTGAGCTGGAGCTGAGCAGCTGTGCAAGTCAATCTGTCTGGGTGCTTCTCCCAGCAGGGCCATGTCCTAACTGTGTGACCTTGCAAAGTCCTTGACCTCTCTGAGGCCCACTTTTCTCATTAAGTGTGCAAGTTGATGGGGGTGGCGATCGCCCATTGAGCACGTGCTACGTCCCAGAGAGTGTGACCAGCGCTGTACAGCTGCCCATCCTCTGTCCATCCTCCCAGCAGTCCATGCGGCAGGTTGAGTTGCCCACTCTGCTGAGATGTAAGCACCCGGGGTGTCGGGTCGAAGCCCAGCTTGTCTTAGACTCTAAAACTGCAGGCTGTGCAAATGCGAGGGAAAAAAGGCTGGAAGAAACATGCCATACTGTCAACACTGGCCTGGGGTAGGAGAGGACTTATATTTTGCTTCTTTCTGTTAAGTCTTAATTATCTTACTGGGGAATTAGCAAGATGGGGGCTGTGGGGCCATGGTGAGTTCAGATGCAGTCACATTAAACAAAACCAATTTAAAGATGCAGGTTCCTATTAATCTTGGGGTGGGGGTGGTGTCAAGTTGCAAAGCAGGGCTCTCTGGGGCTGGGGGAGGCAGGGCTGAGGCCTGACACCCAAACCTTAGAGACCTTCACACCCATGGGCTCACCAGATGAGCTGTTCCTTCAGCCACTGGGTTGCTCTGAGGTTTTACCAGAGAGCTTAGGGGTGGAAGTCTCCTCAGGCGATTTCCTGAGAAGCTGAAGCCTCCTGTGCCAAGTCTCTTCCCTGGCCTGGGTTCTGAGGAAGAGCTCACTGAGAGGTCTCACAGCCTCTCCTTTTTCGTCCCTATGCCCCCACTTGCCTGGTGACCCTGAGGCTTCAGGCTTCAGGCTTCAGGCTTCAGGCTTCAGGCAGACCTGGGTGGAGCCCTGTGGCTTCTGCCACAAGCAAGCTGATGAGACAGTGTCCGCCCTGGACCCCCATGCTGCCCGCCAAGGCCCCTGGGGTGAGGGGGCTCGTGGGCCATTTCCTAGTGGAAACTGACAGGCCTCTGGGACTTCTGAGGGCCAGCATTTCCTACTCTCCTCAGCTAGTTTTCAACACAAAGAGAGGAAAGGGTGGGATCAAGGGGGGCTGGGGAGGAGGTGTGCTGCTGAGGGGAGGGTGGGGCCTGGAACAGGTTGAAGGACCCTGCTCTGAGCTGTTGTAGAGGCTTGGCCTGCTCCATGGTTGGGGTGGAACCCCCACTATAACTGACCATCGCACTTCTGGGGGGTGCAGGCCAGTGCCTATTAGCTTGGCTCAGAGGATGGTGTGGGGTCCAAGGCTGGCCAGCCATACCCATCGGATCCCAGGGGCTGTAAGGCTTCAGTCTCCTGCTCTGCTGGTTCTCCTCTGCAGGTTGCCCAGGGTGAGATTTCCTGCTTCTTCAAAGATGACAGGGCAGATCTTGGGTGCCCACCCCCTCTTTGAGCAGAGCATGTAGTAAGGGGAACTTTCCAAATCCAAAGTGGTACTACTTCCCATCTCTTGCCTCCATGCTGGGTCTTCAGGCCACCCAGAACCCAGTCTAGATGGGTGGAAGAAGGGCTGGGGGGCCCGGCCTGGAGTAGGGAGCTGTAGGAAGCTGGGATGCCCTTTCTTACATTCATGAATGAATGTCCAGTAAATTCTGTACTCTTTCTCTGTCCCTCCTCAGCCGGGTCAACCCAGGTCCCCTGCCCCACCTGCCTCTGGTCTGTGAAGGGCAGCCACCCCTCACTCTTCCTCTGAGCTCTGCCCCTCCCAGTGGGCCACTGGGAAGGAGGCCCCATAGAACCGGGAACAAGGTCTCTTCAGCATGGAGGGCAGGTACCCTCATCATAGCCTGGACTCACTCCTGTCACCCGCAACCCCTCCAGCCATAGGCTCCGGCCCAGGGCCTCTTACAAAGGAGGCCACGCTTGCCAGCTGTACAATTTAATCAGTGCAGAATATTTACAGAAAGAAATGTATGGGGGTAGACACTGCCCTCCATCCCTTGGCTGGCTCTCCGGTTCTGAGGACGGAGTGGGGAGCAAGCTGCTGGATCCACACTCCAGGCCAGTGCATGAGATACCCCTCCCTCAGGAGTCGGGGATCTGGGTGGCAGACGTGCTTGCTCAGGGCTGAGGGGAAGCAGAGGGGACGGAGCCGGCTGTACAGTACCATTTCCACAGCAGCCTTGCCTCCTGCTTACTTTGGGAGGGAAAAGGAGGAAGTGTCCCTGCCCTTGGGGCTGAGCCAAGGAGAAGGGGAGTCTGCAGGCCACAGTGGGCTCCTTTAGAGACTCTGCAACTGCATCCCACAAGTCTGTGTGAGGGAAAGAGCTGCTGGCCTCTGTCCACCAGTGTCCCTCCTCCTAGTGCCCTGGGAGACTGGGAGCTGAAGGGGAGGAACCCCTATGCCGCATGCGTGGTGGGCTGTGGGCACCCATCAGCCCCCTGTCCTCCTGGGACAGCTGGGAGCCTGGCAGCAGGTGCCTGAGGCTCGTGGGATTCTGAGACCCCTGAGGACGGTGGTGTGGGTGAGGGAGAGTGGGAGGAAACCCAGGGAAGGAGCCCAGGTGGGTCATAGCTCAGATAGGAGTGGACGGGGGCTGGAAGCCCAGCCTGGGGGGGTGAGGTCCCTGGGTGGAGAGGCCTTGGCAGACCCCCTTTGGTCCTTGGTAAGGCAGGTCCAGGGCCTCTTCTGTAGGCTCAAGGGGTGTGTGAGCACTGGGGACTGTGGGCCCCTTGACTGAGTAGGGCCAGGGTAGGCATCTTAGGTACGAGAAGCCTGGGTAACGGGTTGAGAGGGGTGAGCAGGGAAGGACTCAAAACTCCACATGACTCATGGCCAGTAGGCCACCTTACCCTTCTGTCCCCTGGGCCCTGGGGCTGCCCCTGGGGGAAAGCTCTTCCCAAGGCAGAGATTTGGGTGGGTGGAGACCACAGACCCCACCAGTCTCCAAAGCCAGCTCAGGCTGAGGAGGGCCCAAGACGGGAAAGAACCTCAGAAACCTTTAAGCCACTTTCCAGCTAGGCCTTCTGACCCTCTGCTTCCCTGGCTGTGGCCAAGGCAGAGGTGTTGTTGGGTAGGGCGGCGAAACCGGCTCATTCCCTGTCCGGAACAGAACTATTTGTAGAAAGCTCTAACCCCTGCCCTGAGGGACCGCTGCTCCGGGTCAGCAAAGTAGAAACAAATACTCAATTAGTGTGCAAAAACAAAAACAAAAACAAAACAAAAAACCCAACAAAAGCTGGGCATAAATAAACATCGGGGCAGGGCTGGGGCAGGGCTGGCAGGGAGGTTGGAGGGCCTGGCGAGGCCCCCACCCAGGGGCTGAGGGAGCCCTGGAAGGCTCTGGCTTGGTGCACCCCCACCCAGCCGTCGGAGAAGCCTGGATCCCGCCAGCCACCGCCCCCTTAGCACCGTGCGCAGCAGGAGGGCAGCGCTGCGGCTCAGACCCACTCCTGCAGGGAGCGCTTGCAGTAGAGGAGAACGCGCGGCGCGCCCTTGCGCTGCATCTGCACCAGCGCGTACGTGAGCCCCAGGACGCACAGCAGCAGCAGCATGGGCGGCACCAGCACCAGCACCATGTTCACCGTCCGCGTGACCTCCTCCATCTGTACCACCACGCGGCTGCCCCCGTCCGCGTCGGTCCCATCCCCGAAGTCCCCCGCGCCGCCAGCCTCGCCCCCCTCCTCCTCGCCCTCCTCGCCGTCCCCGCCCGCCCCGGGCTCTGCACCCCCGTCGGGGTTGAAGGGTGGACGAGCCACGTCGGGCCATCGGGGTCCCGGCTCCACGTGTTCTTGGCAGCCCATGAAGTCCCGCAGGATGGATTTGGGGTAGCCTGGCTCCATCCGCAGGCGCTCGTTGTCGAACTTCCAGTACTTGGTGCCCTTGTAGAAGTATGTGTAGGCTGCGGGGCGGGGAAGCAGGGATGAGCAATGTCAGGCTCCACCTCCACCACCAGCCCCAGACCCTCAAAGAAGACCAGGACATGTTGGAGGCACCCTGGCTTTAAAGTACCCTCCTTCTCACCTGCCAGCCTGATCATTTTCAAATCTGTCCCCTCCCAGCATAGAGGAGCCAGATGGGGGCTCAGAGAGGGGCAGGTTTGGGTCGAGGGCCCCACTCTGCTTCCCCTGCTTCCTGGCTGGGCTGACATTGACACAGGTGGTACATGGAAGGGTCTTGCAGCCGGCTGGGTCACCTGGGCTACAGTCAGGGGTCCCTGCCATACTGTCCCAGGACTGGCTTCATCCCATACCAGAGAGGCCAGTGTCTTGCTCAAGGCCACACAGCCAGCCTGCAGCCTTGGGCTGGAACAGAGCCCAGCGCTGCCTTGGACAAGCTCCGCAGCCTTGGGCACTTTGCCCACACCCCATCAGCCCCAGGAAGGGTCAGTTCTGAATGAGGGGTGAGTCCATATTCTGCTGGACACAATGAGATCGGAGTGGCTGCAGAGTGATGCCATCATACACAAATGCCACGTGCCTGGCCTAAGCACTGGCTTTCCGGCAGAGCCAGCAGGGTCTCCCCTGAGCCCAAGAACCTGGAACCGGGAAACCAAGACTAATGGTTTTTCTCTAGATTGCCAGAGACCCCACTGGAGAAATAAAAGCCGCAGTTCCCTCCCTGTTGCTCAATTATAGTGACAGAGGTCAGGCTTCCTTCCAGGCAGGAAAGTGGGCATCCTGGGAGGACCCTAGCCTTCCATCGCCCTGAGCCAAGCTCACCCCCACACACACACACTTCAAGCTCCCTGTGGGCTGCCCAGGCCTAGCTGGACTCTGTAGGGAGCAAGGCCATTACGAGCGCCAGTTCTGGACACAGGCAGACCCCGGTTGGACTCGATTCTCCAACTCCCTTGCGGAGGGACTTGGGGCCCTTAAATTCTATGGTTTAGTTTGACTGTCTGTAAAAAGGGGTTGGAGACAATGCAGGAAGGGTCAAGAGAGTCACGCTCTGGAGGCCCCCGGCCTGGGGCCTGCCACAGCAGTGTCCCCCATACCAGCCATCGCAATGCTGGTGAGTCCTGGGTGTGGAGAAGGGGGGGATGGTGAGTGCTAGGCAGGCTGCAGGGGATGGGCCCCGATACCTGCATCGTTGCTCAGGAAGGCCCCTTTGGGGGACGTAGGGATCCCTTGCCAGACACTGATGGGCTTGGGGTAGCCGGGGTCTCCACGCTGCGTCTCCTCATTGAAGCGCCAGTACCTGGGACCAAAAGCACCAGGCTGTGGGTTCTCTCTGGGTGGGGGGGTTGGACTGGAGCCTTCTCCCTTTAGGGAAGGGGGTGCTCACCTGTCCTCCTGGAAGAAGAAGGTGTGACCTGTGGGTTCCCACCAGATGGCCGTGTCAATGCGGTCATAGGGGATGCCCAGGCCATAGCTGGTCAGTGGCTGAGGGTAGCCAGGCTCCAGGTTTGCTTCTCGGAAGAGCCAGTAGCGGTCACCTGAGGGAGGGGGAGGTGGGTGAGGACAGGTTGGGGGCTGGGGGGCATGCATGGGGAGGGGACATGGGGCGTGCTATCCTGGGCCCACAAATCCATTCACATCCACAGCCACACTCACCACATACATATGACACATGCATGTACACACATACACCACACAATCATACACACCCTTTTACACAGGATAGGCACTGACCCCTATACACACCCAAGATAACACACAATGCAACTCACTTGCGTGTACATGCACTTGGAACTCATGGGCACCTGCGACATACTTACACATGTACAAGTCACTCACATTTGTGCACACACCTGTCACACTATAAATGGCCTGCATTCCCGTGTGAACATCCATCCCACCCCCATAAACAGTTCTTGTACAGAGGAAGAGGGGGAGCCCTGTCTGGCCTCTCAGGGGCTTTTAGCGTGGGCTAAGGCTGGCAGGGGGGCTGGGGACACAGCTCATTCGTCAGGGGTACTGCCCTGGAGGCCCTCCCCAGGGCAGCAGGCCCCAAAGGAAGGGCTGGCAGTAGGGAGCTCCATTGTCCCTGCCGGCAGACCCCAGAAATCCTGCCCTGGGCTCGGGGGATCTGTTCTTATGAGGAGGGGCTGCTGAAGGCACAAGAGGCAAGGAAGGAGGGAACCGATGCGGAGTCCCCATGCTGCAGAGGATGGGCAGCTCGCCTCCAGTCGGAGCAGCTTCTGGCCCCCAGGGCCTCAGGTGTCTCCTGGTTTCCATCTACCTTCCCCCACCCCTCCCTTGGCCTTGATGCATCTCCCCCACAGTGGACAATAGGATGACACGTGAAACGTAGCCCTTTGCTCTCCTCCTCCCTCAGGCCCATTGGGTTGGAGGCCAGGCCAGGGCAGGAAGGGTGCCCAGGGCTCCCACTACCGAAACCTACCTTTAAAGAAGACAAAACGTCCATCTTGGCGCTCGTAGGCAGCACTGATGTCACTGGGCAGGCCACGCCAGAAGTGACCGATGGGCATGGGATAGTTGTCCAAGACACGGTTGTGCCGAACCCGCCAGAACCAGCGGCCCTGGGGAGGGCGTGTGTGTGAGTGGGCAGAGCAAGCCTCATCCTGGGAGAGGCCTCTCCTTGATCCACCCCTTCCCAGTCAGGGAGATCTGGAGGGGTAGCTCAGAAGACCAGGGCAGCCCTGGGAAGGGAGCCTTGGGCGGGGCACAGGCCACTGCATGTCTGTGTCACCCTGGCCAGGCCCCTTGTCCCTCAGGCTGGTGTCTTCTTGGTCTAGGGTCTGATGGCTCCCCATAGGCTGCTCAGTGAAGGAGGGGTGGGGATGTCTGGGCAGCCAGGTGAGGAAAGGCTCCTGGAATGGGATGTAGGGCTTGCCCTCCTGCTCTGAGATGGGGCCAAGGGGCTAGGGAGGCATGGGCAGGGGCCAGACCTTGAACACGAACATCTCCCCACGCAGCATGGCTACTGTGTCAAAGTCCCCGTCGCAGATGTTGGGGCCATACTGGTCAGGCCGTTCCGTGGCTCGGGGCTGGGCTGGGGGGCCTGGCTTTGGGGGCCGCTTCGGCTTCCCACCTGGGGGTGGTGGCTGGGGGGGTCTGGGGGGCCGATGATCTGGCCGGCCTGGTCGCCGGGGAGTCACAGTGGGCAGAGGCCGGGTGGGCTGTGGCTGGCCATCCGGGGTGCCTGCAGAGCAGGGTGGGGGGAGTGGGAAGTCAGCAGGTAGCCCCAGAACCCAGCCTGAATGCCAGGTTCTCCTACTTAGAACCAGGGGACCCTGGGGCCCCCAGCCCAGAGGGACATTTGCCTTGGTGGTAGGCTTAGTCAGGTGCAAGTCCCCGTCTCTTCACAGCAGACTCCTCCCCCACACCAGCCATCACACTCAGGACCTCCATCCTCCTCCATACAGCCCCCTCCTCGACCTCCCCACACTGGACATGGGTCACTGTGTCCCTGAGGCTGCCCGAGTCCACGTTCCCTTGCGGACATTCCCCTCAGGGCACTAGCCTGCTTCAGTGGACCAGGAAGTAGGGGACACATGCAGAGGCAAGAACATGGCTCTGTGACCTCTGCCAAGGGCCCATCTCTTTGCCAGTTTGCCGGGATGTCTGTAAAGGAGTGTCTGTCACCTGCCCAGCAGGGCCAACACTGCCAGCCCTAAAAAGGGGCTCAGTGGGGCACTGAACATAGGCTCTGACCCACAGAACTGGTCCTCAGGAGACCTTACCACTGGAGACCTCGGGTGAGGCCTGGGTGGAGGGGGTGTCACCTGCCTCAAGCCACTGCGCAGTGAAAAGCCAACAACACTGCCTGGAGAACCTGGGACAGGCTGGGATTGGGAGCAAACGGGGAAGAATGGGGTCTGGGACTGCAGGGGCATGCCCAATCTAATAAGAATACCATTGACCCTGAAGAGGAAAGAGGGGTCAATGAGGGGCTTTGGGGATCCCAGCCTGGAGTCACCATGAGGGCCCAGGGCCTGGAGCTGCCCAGCCCTGGGTGTGATTTCTAGCCCCATCAGTTACTCACTGAGTGATGTGGACAAGTCACTAATGCTCTCTGGGCCTGTTTCCTCATCTACAAAACAGGGTTACTGGTGGTACCTATGCCTTGTCCGGTGGGGAGTCGAAAACTGGTGTGCAGAGCCCCCGGGCCATACCCATGCTGCCCACTCACCGTAGAGCTGCTGGATGCCCCGGAGGTCGTCCTCGGGCAGCTGGAAGCTGTCGGTGTCCATCCACTGGTAGAAGGGCGCCATGATGGCACTGGGGTTGCTAGAGTGCTCCAACCCTAGGGCATGGCCCAGCTCATGCACTGCCACCAGGAAGAGACTGTTCCCTGCAGTGGGGACAGGCAGCACAGTCAGCTCTGTGGCCATCAGAGAGCTGGCCCTTCTGCCAATTTAGGAGAGGCTGAGCTGCTCTGACTGCTGGGGCTCAAGCTTCCCCACCTGGGAAATGGGTACAATGATCCCTTTGCTTCCCTACCATCCCTTAGAGATCATGGGACAACTGACTGAGATGGAGGGTCAGTGCTCCAGAGAACTTCCGAGGGAAGTTCTCCCCTCCCAACCCTGTAGCTGCTAAACAGGCTCAGAGGGCAATGCCCAGTGCCACCTCTGCCTCCCCTGCCCTGCCCTGGCCTGGTGTCCTCACCATGCAGGTCAGTGCTGGAGAAGGTCCAGGGCTCATCTGCATCGAAATGGGTATCTCCGCCCAGACCAGGGCCAGGGAAATAGGCGTGGGCCAGAAAGCCCCCTGTGCCGTCAAATGGTGAGCTGTCGCCGTGGAAACCGGAGGCAAAGAGTACCATGATGTCAGCCTCCTTCTGCCGCCGCAGCCGAATGTCCTCGTAGGGCACCTCCTGGAAGACCAGGGGCGTGGCCTGCTCCCACACGCGGAAGGCCCTCCGCACTGCCTCCAGTGAGTGGTACCATCCCAGCTTCTCTGTGTAGTTCTGGACGCTGCAGTTGGGCCGGGAAACAAGGGAGTGAACTCAGGGCCTACTGGATTCCACTGTCCACTGCTAGCACCCACTAGGTGGGGGTGAAGATACACGGTCCCAAGAGACACGCCTAAGTTCTCAGCTGGTTTACCTACAGTGCCTGTCAATACCAACCATTAGTTTGCTCTGATGTGAATCTGGAAAAGAGAACTAATACGTCAAACCCGGGAGTTCATGAGATATCATTAAGTAAGGTTGTACAGTGTCCAATTCGCTTAAATAAAACCATGAAGCAAATAAGAGAACAGGTGCCCTGTAGCTAAGAGAAAGAACTAGACAGTTTGGAGACAAATGGCTGAGGTTTAGAAAACACGGGCCAAGCGGTTCTGATTATTGGACTTCAGGCTCAGGCTGTCCTGAGTTCAAGGCCGGGCTCTGACATGACCTACATGACCTTGGGCAGGCCACTTCGTCTTTCTGTATTTCAGTTCTGCATCTGTAAAATGGGAAAAGGAGAGTCGTGCTCTCATCCTGGGGAGCTGGGAGGATGATAAGAATGAGCTGATGGAGAAAGCAAGCGGCCCCTGAGTCTGCACGTGATAAAGGCAGGAGGAGGCCTGGTATCACCCACATGAATCAGATTAAGCTTCTGTGTGCTGGACAGATCTCCATGAAAAGCTGGTTGGGCCATGACGTCGCTCTGGGGGCCTGGGGGAGATAGAGCTGCGAATGGGGTTGTGGCTGGACTGAAACACGAAGAGGAGTCCTTGGGGACTGCTCCGTGGCTCAGGGCTCAGAGGGGGCTTCTCACCAAAGATGGGTGCGCAGACCAGGGTTTTTGTAAGGGACTTGCTGCTGCCCACTTGGCAAATGCCAGATTCCAACACCTTGCCACCCCCCCCACCCCTTAGATGCCTGAAGCCCCATGTGCCAGGCACCGCAGAGGCCCCCAGCTCTGCAGTCAGCCCTCCACTGCTGGCGGGTTGGGGTGGGGATCCGGGAGGGAAGGAGGACAGAGCGGAAGCAGCTCCAAGGGTCCTGACCTTCCCTGGGGGAAGACTGCCTAGGAAGTGCAGCTGATCTTGTCAGCATGGGAGCAGGTCGGACAGTCTATGCTGGGCACCCTGGGGTGGGCTTCTGGGAAAGGAAGCCTTCCAGACAAGCCCACTATGAAGCCTGAGGCCTCAGCCAGCATGGGGAGAGGAGCGAGCTGTCTCCGGCCGGTGCTGTGGGAGGGCTGAGCCTCGGTGCCTACCTGAAGGTCAGGTGGTGGTTGTTCCACTTCCTCCCCGTGAGGGCATAGCGTTTCCGCCGCCGTCGCAGGTTGGCTTTCACGCGCACCCCAAACTGGTCTGGCACCCCACAGCGGGGTCTCTTCATCCACCTGCGTCACGGATACAGAGGGGTAAGCCCGGAGCCTTCCTCCCTGTGCCTGTCTGTTTGGGCTCTGCCTCTTCCAGGCAGTCCACCTTCTTCTACCACCCTTTTGCCTTTGGCCTCCAGCTGCCTCTGTATGGGTGTGGGGGACAATCTCTGCACTTCAATTTCCTCATCAGAAAAACAGGCAGGTTGACCTCAGACTGGAAGACCGAGTGCCCAGAGGGGACTCCACGAAGGTGATCCCCTTCTCACCGGTATCACCCAGGAATGGGAGAGTTACCCCCGAGGCCCTGTGTCCGTGATACATTATGCTCAGTGCATGCTCAAGAATGTGACTTTGGGTCCTGTCACCTTTGTCAGGTTCAGCGCAGAGCCGAGGCCTAGCGAGGATGCCCCAGCCAGGGCCCCCGTGCCGCTCCTCCCCATCCCCGTGCCTGTGGCAGGCATCACTAATCCTGCGCTCCTTGCTGCCCAGCCCGTCGCCTCAGCTTTCTGGACACAGAGCTTCGGGCAGGCTTGCCCAGGCGATCAGAATGAGCAGGGAAGACCAGACCAATCGCCATTTCTTATCTAGGCCACTCGGTTCTGGAAACTCCACCTGCCAAACCCCTGTCAGAGCAGGCCAGGAGGAGGGCCCGGCGGAGGCACTCACGCCTGGGTTTCTTCGTCGAGCACGCCCGTGACGGGAATCCCATAGAAGCGCTGCATCTCAGCCAGGGCCGAGGCCAGCATCTGGGCGGAGCGCATGGTGGACATGTGACGGCTTGGCTGGGGCAGGTAGCCGTAGAGCCTCAGCCAGTTCTGCAAAGAAGAGGCCACCCCTGGGTCAGCATATCTAGCGTTGCTACCTCTAAACACAGCCTGCATCCCACGTCCGCCCACCGTGGCCGCCACCCCCTCCTGCTGCAGGGACCGTGTGAGCCTCTGGACTGCTCTCTCCATTCCCACCTCCTACAGTCTGTTCTCACGCAAGAGCAGAACAAAAGGCCTTTACAGTCAGGTCTGGTCAATCTTCCGCTTCTGCTTAGAATCTTTCAAAGACTTTCCAGCTCAGAGGAAAAGCCAGTTCTTACGGGAGCTGCCAGGCCCTCCTTACCTGCCCCTGCCTCAGCCCTCAGCCCTCACTCCTCCCACCCGCCCCCAGATGGTCACACTGCTGCCTCAGGGCCTTCGCACGCGCTGTTCTTGCTGCCCAAACGCTCTCTCTCAGACATCTGTATGGCTCCCACCCTATTTTCCTCAGTCTCTGCTTTCACCTCACTTTGTTGGAGGGGTATTCTCTGACAACACAATGTTAAAAAAAGACCCCCCCCCATCTGCGTGCCCTGGATCCCCTCTCGTCCTTCCCTGTACTTGTCGTCTAACACATTATATATTCCACTTCCGGTGTTTATTGTTTGTCTTCCCCTGTTAGGATGGAAACCGCGTCCATGAGGACAGTCCACAGTAGCTGTCCTTATCTTTGTACTGGCTGCTCCAGGGAAGCTCCCTACCACTCCTGGTAGACCACTGGGGACCCTGAGGAGTTCAGAACCTCTTGAAGTCGCACCAAGTAGGAAAACTGGCCCCTTGGTGCTGCTCCCCTGGAGATCGTAAGCCCCAGAAGAAGAGCAGATGGATTCAGGCAGCCCACCCGGGCCCAGCAGGGTGAGACAGGAGACCCGAAGTTCAGTCCCTGCTTTGCCACAAACACTTTGTTTTCACCGGGACTGAGTTTTCTCAGGTAACAACGGGGCAGCCCTGGGAAAAGCAGCTGGCACACAACAGGGGTGCCCATCCCCTTCCACAGCCTTCTAGAATGTCTTTTCCTCCATCTATCCATCTGTCCATCCATCCACCCACCCCCACCTCCTGCCAAGTGTTTCTGTGCCAGACACCGCCAGCTGGAGGCTGTGGAGGACCTCGAGAGAGTGTGCTGACCTCCAGGGGCTTCCAGGCTCCTGGGGAGACCAGGTGTTCCCACAGAGGGAGGGATTCACGCCTGCAAGTCTGTGAGCAGACATGCCCGTCACAGTCACAACTGGAGAATGGGATCCCCGAGGAGCCAAGCTGAACTGTGCTAAGAATTCATCCTGGCCGTGAGAACATGGTGACCACCACACGAGGCTGCTGGTGAACACAGAGGCCAGGGACTGCTGTGGGCTTTGGCCCCATGGAAGTGTCCTTCATACCTTTCCTGGCCCGCCCTGGGTCTCTGGGGGCCGCCAGGGTGAGGGCATCTGCGGCCTGCTCTCTGTGAGGCTCTGGAAGGTTAAAGCTGCACATCGAAGTCCCAGAAGGCAGGATGATGGCCAGATATGGTGGTTGCCGTGGACCAACAGCCCTGTGTCAGCTGGCCAGGGCCACACCCATGTCTGTCTGCCACCAGCATCAAATCTAACTCCTCAAGGACTTGCTCCCTCAGTGCCACCTACCATCCCCCTGACATGACTGGGTGGTCCCCACAGCTGGCTCAGTGGTGCGCAGGTGGCCGCGCTGGATGGAGTGGCTGCTGAGCCAAAGAGGGTGGCATGGACAGATGCCCAGCCCCAGCTTCCAGGCCTCCCAGGCCCTAGGAAATGGCCACTGAACAAGGAGGCAGGGACACAGAGCTGGGAAATAACCATCAGCTCCAGTGACAGAGTGGGGGACAGATTCTGGCCCAGACACCTCTGAGGTGTGGCTGCATGCCTCCTGTGCTTTAGGCTGTCATCAGACTAATTTTTTTTTTTTAAGACCGCCACATTTTTATTTATTTCCAGGTGCATAAAGAGGCTACAAGTTAGTGCTGTTAAAAAAAAAAAAATCAAACTCATCAAGTAAGTGCTGCATTTAATGAAAACCGCATCAGATAGAAGAGGAGGCAGGAGCCGACCGCAGAGCCCTGGGCATTCAGGGGGGGAGTGTCTGTCCTGGAGCAGCTCCCCTGCCCTGGGACAGTGAGGAGCTGGAGGCGCCTGTAGGGCTCAGCTGGCTGGCTGTCTGACCCCAGCCGCTGGCCTCCAAGAAGCATTGGGGAGGAGGAACTTGCAGAGGTAAAAATCCCACTTCCAGGGTGGGCCTGACCAGGACCTGCCTCATCACCCAGATTTCTGGGAGGGTTCGCTGGGGGTCCACACTCCTGCGTGGCAAGGTGCCGGGTAGGGAAAGGGGCTCAGTAAGTGTATTATTTTTTTTTTAAAGGTTTTTATTTATTTATTTGACAGAGAGAGGGAGAGAGTTCACAAGTAGGCAGAGAGGCAGATAGAGAGGGGGGGCGGAAACAGGCTCCCTGCTGAGCAGAGAGCCCAATGCGGGGCTCGATCCCAGGACCCTGAGACCCTGACCTGAGCCAAAGGCAGAGGCCTTAACCCACTGAGCCACCCAGGCGCCCCAGTAAGTGTATTATTAATGATGGAGGCCTGTCGGTTGTCCCTGGAACAGCAGCCTTTTGCCTCTCCCAAGAATTGAAGGGCCTGAGTGCCAGGCAGCCTCAGGTAAGGGCAGAGCAGCAGTGGGAAGCAGGCGTGCCGGAGGCACACACCCCCCCTAGTGACCCTCCTCCCCTCTCTAGCCAAGGTCTCCTTCCCTGTTCTTCCCAAGCACAGGAAACCTCTCCTGAGGCTCTAAGTGTATGGAAGGGACAGGGTGGGAAGCCCACTGCCTGTAATGGGCAGTTTCCCAAGACGCTGGGGCAGACCAGGAAGGCCAGGCGGTGATGCCAGGCCAGCTCTGGCAATGAGAGGAGGAGGGGGAGAGGCGGAGCCGCCTGCTGATGGAGGAGGGCGCCCGTACATTGCCTATTTGCATAAGGTAAAAATATCTCAGGGAGCGCAATCACGGGCCACCAAGGGGCTGATTAGTGGTGTCTGCAGTGACAGGAGAAGGGCAGGCAGGGGAGGCTCAGACTGGGGCCCTGGGGAGAGGAAGGCAGGGGAGCTGAGCCCGTCTGCAGTGAAGATCTCCAGAGCCCAGCCCAGCCAATAGGGCCTTTCACTCCTGGGGGCAGCTCAGGGGCCGACAGGAAGGTCCCATGGGTTCCTGTGGACCCTCCTCCCCACAGACAACTACCCTTGGGGTCTCGGGGAGGCCAAGAACTTCTATCTCATAATCAGCCCACCCTTGAGCCCTCAGTCTCCTGGTGACCAATGCCCTTGGCCCATGACCAGGATGAGAAGCCAGGCCGGGGAGCAATGGCACGTGATGGCAGGGGGCAGATATGCGGCCTGGGCCCCGAGCAGCCGATTCCCAGAGAACGGGGCGCAAAAGCTGCTGGAGCCTGCCTGACTGTGGCAAACTTGTGCTCAGCGCTGACTGCCAAGTGCCCATCAGTCTGCACCACCGGTAGGGCTGTGCGGGCTCTTCCCATCCCTGGGAGGGTTTTTCTCTCTACCCTCCTGCCGGAACCAAGGGTGACAAACCTAGGAGGCGAGGACGTGGAGGGAAAAGAGCACAGGATTGGGGTGCACAGGCTTGTGACAGGGGCTGCCTGCACCCCTGAAGCCCCAGCTTGCTGATGTGCTGTGCTGCCACAGACCAAAAGGGAGTTGTGATTCCCAAAGTCTCGAACTTGGGGAGGGACTGTGTTCAAGCCCCTGCTGTTCTTACTGGTGACTGTAAACTCTGTCCTTTACAAAAGTAGCCTCCTTTTCTTCCTCATTAACCAGTCTCATAGGTGGGGAAACTGTGGCACAGCCCAGTCAGGAAGCAGCAAAGTAGGGGGAGCTGCTCTATGAGAGCCACTGTTCGTGGGAGGCAGGGACGGTTCTGAAGAGATCTCCAGGGACCATGCAGAGAGACCCCACCTACCCCGGTTCTTCTAGCCATTTCTTTCCTGGGCTGCCATCCCATAAGTACGTATAGATGTGGGGTCCCTGGTGGCTCAGTAGGTTAAGTGGCTGCCTTTAGCTCAGGTCATGATCTCAGGGGCTCCTTGTTCAGTGGGGAGTCTGTTTCTTCCCTCTTCCCCTCCCCCCAATGCTTTCTCTCTCTCTCAAATAATAAAATCTTAAAAAAAAAAAAAAAAAAAGTATGTAGGGGCACCTGGGTGGCTCAGTGGGTTAAAGCCTCTGTCTTCAGCTCAGGTCATGATCCCAGGGTCCTGGGATGGAGTCCCACATTGGGCTCCCTACTCAGCAGGGAGCCTGCTTCCCTCCCCACCTCTGCCTACTTGTGATCTCTGTCAAATAAATAAATAAAATCTTAAAAAAAAAAAAAAGGTATGTAGAGCTGCTTCAGGTGAGTGGCTAGCCCCAGTAAGGAAACGTGGGGCCGTCAGGAGTCTGAGGGCAGATTCCTGGCCCTCTTGCCCAGAGGAAAGGCCATAAGCATAGCGGCAGGCTGAGAACCTGCCGTGGACCGGGCAGTTGACTCTAGTCATCCCATTCAATGCTCACAAGGACCCCATTCCCACTGTACAGCTAATGAGGTTCAGAGAGGGCGAGTGGCCCACCCAGGGTCACACAGCTGTCTGGCTAGAACTGGAGCCCACAAGCAGTATTACGGGCCTGGGCCGCTTGTGAAGCCGCACAAGCCTCTGGCCCAGCACAGCACTGGGGGAGGGCGGCTAACCCTCCCCACACTCCACCTCTCCAGCTGGGTCTGGGCGCGGGGCCATGTCGGCAGGGCTGCCCCCCAGAACTGCTGAGACAATGCCAAGGCAGGCCTACGGGGAGGGTATGTCTGAGAAGGCGCTGCGGATCAATATTGTGCATTAAGTGGGAGTGGGGGGAGGGGGAGCGGCCCGCTGCCACCGCCGCCACAGCCAGCTCCCCCTCTCCCTGGGCCTCAGATTGCCTGGCCCCGCCCACGGCCTTATCGGACCCTGAGCGATAAGCAGGATC